TGGCCCTCCTTAAATCCAAACTGATGATCGCTAGTGAGAAGACTTGCTTTACATCGAGTGAGTATGACCCGCTCCAGTATTTTAGAGCTCACCGTGGCCAAAGCTATTGGCCTATAGTTATCCTTATCAGTCAATTTGCCTGTCCGATCTTTCACAATAGGGCGAAGTATCACCTTCGACAAAGAAGGAGGCAAGACGCCATGTCTCACCATCATCGAGAAACATAACGATAGATGCGTAGCACATGGAACACCCGCAAACTTAAAATGTTCAGCAGATAGACTGTCACAACCTGGAGAGCGACCTGACGACAGCTCATGGATCGATTCTAAAACCTTAGGAACCGAGAACATATCAGCACCTTCACCATCATTACGAAGCTGATTCAGAACACCTTCTTTACAGTCATCGCCATCAACACTATTCAGAATATCAGCAAAGTGATCCTTCCACATGTTCGCTATATTTTTCTCTCCACTGACGCTTCCAATAGACTGGGCCAGTGGCGGATCAGCGTTAAGCTTACGAACTTCTTTCCAAAAAGTTGCTAAGTCGCGCGGGTTTTTAGCAAATTTATCAGCTAGTGATTTTGCTCGCAGCTCTTTCTCATTCTTAACCCGCGCCCCGTAGGGGGGGGGGGGCCGAAACGGCCCCCCCCTGTCCTTTTCGGTCGATATCTCCTAAACGGCTGGAGATATCGCCACCAAACTTTCAGGACCCCTCCGGGCATCAATTTTACACATTGTGACCAAAAATTTTTTCCAGAGGCTATGATAGGTTGGCCACAAATGACGTCAGAGTGACGTCATGTTCTGTCATTTTCGACCGAAAAAAGACCTTCGCGAGAAGACCTGTCAGGACTACAGCTTTGAAGATACAGAAAAATGATCAAGACATAAAAGGTGTAGAATTGACAGGGCTACAAAACTGCTATCTCGAATTTTTGAAATTTTTGAGATTTGACCCCCAAAAATCAAAAAAACTTTTTTTTGGATATATTCGCCAAAAAATCCAAATTTTTTTTTGAATTTCGAAAAAAACCGGAATATATGTGATAGTGCCTACCGTCTTCTATCTACATACCAAATTTCAGATCGATACCTCGTTTTTTGGCCAAGTTATAGCGAAAAAAACTGTTCAAAAATGTTGACGTCAAATTTTCAAACTCAATTTTTGGCAATTCTAGAACTCGTAGAGCAAAACGAAGACCACCATTAGACTCCCCGTGACGAGCTGCATCGAATCAATACCCATATTATGCAAAAATATCAACTTTGAAATTTGACCTAATTTGACCTGACCTTGACCTGACCTTCACAAAAACGTGACCTAGGCTGGCCCCAAAGGCTGCCTAACCCACATAATCGCATTTGTCATGTAAAATGGACCATAAAACATGCATCACACGACACATTCATATTGTGCCCCCGGTGACCTGACCTCGCTGTGACCTGACCTGGTATCAGTGACCTCAGATAGCAAGGTATGTGTTTGACGAACAATGTACCATCGATGGTTTTCAATAAATTACCAATTTACTCGCTTTCACAGCACCTTTCTTGAATTGCCTGTGAACGGTGAAAATCTGACCTTTGACCTGACCTGTGACGTCATCGGTTTGACCTAGGTCAATTAAATTTGGTCACAAGGTAGTTCCCGGGTGGGGCTATCGAACGTCGTTTGAATTTTGAAAATCGGCCGGTAACTTTCCGAGATCTTAGGGGGGGGGCCGAAACGGCCCCCCCCCCTACGGGTGGTAGGGTCCGCCGGTAGCCCTACGGGGCGCGGGTTAAGACAAAAACGAAGCGCATACTTGAATTGTGACCTAGCCATTCGCAACTGGCTGTAGATGTAGCCCTGACGGGGCTTTCCAACCAGGGACCAAAGGGAGTAAACATCACCGAACAAGGTGTGTTTCTCCTCCACAAACTCGGTCCAACCTGGGATTGTTCGCTTACAGCTACCATGCGCTCGTTTGGTCACAGTAGTAAGAGTAGCACTCTTAATAGCATCAATTATCGCTTCATAATAACTATTGATAGCCTCTCTGTGGGCTACACTACAGTCAGTGGCAGCACAGAATATAGCCTCAAACGGTACGTCAATATTAGACAATTGCTCCCTCGCAGCCATAGCAAAGTTGTTCAGACCAAGTTCGTCAACAGAAGACCAATCAACTACCCACCTAGGATCAGATTCAGCAGCCTCGTGTGAATCCGGGATAGGATCGGTGGTCATGATTTCCAGATCACAACACACTGGGAAGTGGTCAGAACTCATAATCGACACATCAACCCTAACAGCACGAACGAGAGAGTAAAGACTCTTTGTACAGACTATGTGGTCAATCCAAGATTCTGTGCAACTGCCATCATTAGTATGAGTGATTGAACTCTGGGGCAATAACAACACATCAGCAATGCGTAAGTCTGCCTCATGACAGAATGATTCAAGTTCAATTCCAAAGTCAGATTGCTTGATGATGTCAGCATTAAAGTCGCCTACAATGCAGACATTGGGTGAGTCAAAATCATCGATGATTCCTTTGAGCTTAGCTAGATAGTACACGTATTGATCAAAGTTTTGTCTCGAGTCATACGGGAGATAAACCCCAACAAGAAGCAGTTTGTGGCCACCTAAATTACATTCTAATCCAATAATTCTGTCGTCATCAAAGGAGATAGGTCTTACCCGCGGAGCAAGCTTACTCCTCCACAGGACGGCAACACCTCCATACGGCCTACCCAGAATTACACGGTCACACGGGTCAATGGATGAAGTGGCAAAAGTCATGAAATCATTGTGAACATTATTCAAAAGGGTAAGTTCTTGAGGAAATAACCAGTGTTCCTGCAGGAATACAACATCCGAGATATCACACAACTTCTTGATTCCAACTGCATTACGTTTAGAAGATTTGCAGTTATAAGAGCTGACTCGTAACATGGTGACACGTTTGATTTAAGTAAACAACAACCAGAGTCGGGATCACATACCCTCAAGGGGGGAAGGGTGTAGAGGTTTGTAGCGGCCGGCAGCTGCTGCCACCTAGCGGCACGGCCCGGAAGTTGTCGGCGCGCGCCGGCGCGGCCGGCGCGGCAGGCAGTCGGCTGGCGGGCCGCGAGCCGAGAGGACGGGGACGCGGGGCTGCCGATGTGTGTGTACATAGTATTGTGTGAAAGTGAAAATACAGAAGAAACGTTACACGAAGACTATAAATAATATGAATTACGAGAGCAGTGTAGCAAGATATGCGGCCTCAAACCTTAGCTGGTCCGTCTTACCCCACCTTCCCCTACACGAGCTACTCCAACCTTTGATATTTGTTTTAACTTTTAATACCACGTTTTGGGATTAAAAAGATAGTGGCATCACTAGCGAACGATGGCACAGGCAAGCTATCATTAATCCATATCGATACATATACCGGGTGATCATTTGGGAATGAGATAAAGTAAGTGGCACGTGCAGATGTGTATTCAATAGCACACCAGACAAAAGACACGTCATTAGACTCGTCATCGTGGGACATTTTGTACTGCACACTATTATACACCTGCAAGCCACTGTTCATCTACAGCAGGTGCTCAAAGTGGCCACCCCCTTCTGAGCGGCACAGCTCAGCCCGACGGCGTGTGTGACGCGCCATCTTTCGCAGCTGCTCTTCGTCCATGTTGCGGGCGAAGTCCTCAACCAGTTCCTTCAGCTGTTCCAGCGTTTGGGGCTCGCTGCGCACGATCTGAGCCGTCACCAATGACCAGAAACAAAAGTCCAGACAAGACAGGTCGGGACTGTACGGCGGCCATCGGTGTTCACTGTTCCGGGAGATGACGCGGCCGCCGAACTTCGAGTGGAGGAAGTCCATCACGAGAGCAGTGACGTGCGGCGGCGCGCCGTCCTGCTAGAACCAGTACTGGTGGCGCGTCGCCCGAGCCCTCACCGCAGGCCACACCACCGTCTGCAGCATCTCCAGGTAGGCGTCGCTGTTGACGGAGCCAGTGAACCAGTGAACTGGCAGGCACTTCCCATCCACCACGCCCACCCACGCCATCACCTTCTGCCCCTGGGCCTTCTTGCATGGCACGAGCTTGTTCGGATTCTCTGGCGACCAGCACACGGTGTTCTTCATGTTTGGAGACGGATGCAGAACAAACCACTTTTCGTCACTCCAGAGTACACGCTCAAACCACTCCTCATCATGGGTTAGCCAGAATTCACAGGAGTCCATCCTGGCCATCCGCGTCATCTCCCGGAACAGTGAACACCGATGGCCGCCGTACAGTCCCGACCTGTCTTGTCTGGACTTTTGTTTCTGGTCATTGGTGACGGCTCAGATCGTGCGCAGCGAGCCCCAAACGCTGGAACAGCTAAAGGAACTGGTTGAAGACTTCGCCCGCAACATGGACGAAGAGCAGCTGCGAAAGATGGCGCGTCACACACGCCGTCGGGCTGAGCTGTGCCGCTCAGAAGGGGGTGGCCACTTTGAGCACCTGCTGTAGATGAACAGTGGCTTGCAGGTGTATAATAGTGTGCAGTACAAAATGTCCCACGATGACGAGTCTAATGGCGTGTCTTTTGTCTGGTGTGCTATTGAATACACATCTGCACGTGCCACTTACTTTATCTCATTCCCAAATGATCACCCATAATATGTAGAAAACTTTAATATCCAACGCCACAAACCTCAAAACACATCTGCGTCCGGTTGCCGGTGGGTTCTGGAATGCCGGTTGTCGAGAGTCGCCCAGTTCCTCGGCGTGACGTAATTGTGACGTCAGCAATGTGAAAGCAAATTCATCGGTGTTGCTAGGAGTTGCTCGCATGCTGCCACCGGTTGCTGGGCGATCGGTTGCCCAGAGTCGCCGAGCAACCGATTGCTGAGAGTTGCCGGCGGAAGTTGCCCGTGTACAACGGCCTTTAAGCCCCCCCCCCCCCCCCAGCAAGAAGCGGATCGATGAAGCGTCGGCAATGATTTGAATATGTGCCCCCTCGGCCCGTAGGTGCCGGGACAGCAACCCGTGCGCTCAGCTCTGTTCCGCTTCCGACACTGGCACTGACGTGCAGTGCTCCTGCAGAAAGGGCTTTCAGCTGGCCCCCGACCAAGTGAACTGCCTCGGTGAGTGTGGGTGACCTCTCAGCCGGTCAGCCGACTGACGCGGCTGTCTGACCTGTGCCTGTGTCACTGGCGGGCTGACTCCTGTCTCATTGTCCGACTCTGTCTCACTGACTCACTGTCTTACAGTCAGACTCTTTCTCAATGCATCACTGCTTCACTGACTATTTTCAGTCAATGACTGACTGACTGACCGTTTCCGTCCCACCGACTGACTCTGTGTCACCTACTGACTCTCTCTCTCTCTCTCTCTCTCTCTCTCTCTCTCTCTCTCTCTCTCTCTCTCTCTCTCTCTCTCTCTCTCTCTCTCTCTCACTCTCACTCTCACTCTCACTCTCACTCTCACTCTCACTCTCACTCTCACTCTCACTCTCACTCTCACTCTCACTCTCACTCTCACTCTCACTCTCACTCTCACTCTCACTCTCACTCTCACTCTCACTCTCACTCTCACTCTCACTCTCACTCTCACTCTCACTCTCTCTCTCACTCTCTCTCTCTCTCTCTCACTCTCTCTCTCTCTCTCTCTCTCTCTCTCTCTCTCTCTCTCTCTCTCTCTCTCTCTCTCTCTCTCTCTCTCTCTCTCACACACACACACACACACCGACTTAACCCGCGCCCTGATGGGGGGGCATATTGCCCCCCCTGTGGTTTTTCTTAAATAGCGAGAAAACGGCGTGCGCGCCAAATTTTGGGTACCTTACCGGGCATCAATTTGACACATTCACACAAAATTTCAAGTCACAGGTCACCTCAGGTCAGGAGTTATTGAGGTCAAACTGAGGTCATATTCGAGTAAAAATGAGCAAAAAACATGACATCTTGAAACGCTCACCAATTCTACAGTTAACAAGCAATTTTAAAGTTCTTTATGTGGTTGTGTAGAGAAACGACTGCGCTACAAAACTGCCATCTCGGATTTTCGAAATTTTGGGATTTTGACCCCCAAAAATAAAAAATGATGTTTTTTTTAGAAAAACTCAAAACTTTTCCAATTTTTTTTCGAATTTCGAAAAACCGGAATATATGTGATAGTCCCTGCGCTCTTCGATATCCATACCAAGTTTTAGATCGATACCTTCTTTTGGCCAAGTTATAGCGAAAAAAACTTAAAAATTGATGACGTCAAATTTTTGAATTCAATTTAATTCTAGACGTTGTAGCGCAAAACCGAGACAACCATTGAACTCCCCGTGACGAGCTGCATCGAATCGATACCCATTTTAGGCAAAAATATCAACTTTGAAATTTGACCCAATTTGACCTGACCTTGACCTGACCTTGACCTGACCTTGACTTGACCTTGACCAAAACGTGACCTAAGCTGGCCCTAAAGTCTGCCTAACCCACATAATCGCATTTGTCGTGTAAAATGGACCATAAAACATGTATCACACGACACTTTCATATTGTGACCCCCCCCCAGTGACCTGACCTCTGTGACCTGACCTGGTATCAGTGACCTCAAATAGCAAAATATGTGTTTGAAGAACATTTACCCACCGATGATTTTCAAAGAAATGCATTTTACTCGATTTTACAACGCATTTCTTGAAATGCATGTAAACGGTGAAAATTCGACCTTTGACCTGACCTGTTACGTCATCGGTTTGACCGAGGTCAATGAAATTGGGTCACAAGGTAGTTCCTCGTTGGGGCTATCCAACGCCGTTTACCGCTTGTCGCTATGTTGAGTGGTTCTCGAGATCTTAGGGGGCCAAAATGCCCCCCCCCCCCATCAGACCCCGTTGCTCGGCAGACCCCATCAGGGCGCGGGTTAGCCCTCGGCCGTATAGGTCAAACGGCCCCCTCGGTTTTTCGCGAATAGCTCGCGTAAAAAGTGACCGATCGAGACGAAACTTTCAGTATCCTCACGTTCATCAATTTTACACCTAACCTGAAAATTTCATAACTCTACCCAAATGACCTTTGACCTGTGACCTACTTTTCGAGACCATGTTTGACCGGAATCGCGATTCGGCGTATGTCGGCTCGCATTAATTGCGCGTTTGCAGTCTTTTCGTTGTTTCAAGCGTTCAAACATGTGATTTGATGCTGCTCCCAGGTACCCAGGTGTATAAAGGTGGGTGTCAAGATCACCTGAAGGTCAGGTCAGCTCATTGACCTTTGGTGACCTCGGTTTATTTAGTTTACTTAGTTTAGTTTATTCCATCAATCATCCACAGGCACACACCCATTGACGGATGAAGTATTAATATTAAACAATAAATACATACAGCACCAACACTTTAACCCTCGCCCATGTAGGGGGGGTGCAACCCCCACCCCCCCTGAGGTTTTTCTTAGCTACACGCCGAACCGTTTCAGCTAGCCTGCTCAAATTTTCAGCACCTTTTGGGGCATCCTTTGCACAACTTTTGGTATTTTTTGTCAAGGTCATGTCAGGTCACGGAGTTATGACGTCATAAAAGGAACAACCTCCGGCCAGATTTACGCTAAATTGGAGATTGCTTCACATTGGTATAAATGCCGACTGACCTGACACACTGATGGATTGTTTTAGAATCACAACTGGCTGATTTGACATTGGCACAATGTCCGTTGACATTTTGAAGGTTACTAAAGGTCAAGGTAAGGTCAGTGACCTCGGTTGACCTGTAATGACTTCTTGCACTTGTATGCCTTTTCGGGGTATTTTGCTGCCCTGAATTCGAATTTGCTATCCATTTCAGGCATCGTCGGTTGTTTCTTGTAGTTCATTTTGGGTCAGGGTCAGGTCAGTGACGTCACACGCCTGACGTGACCCAGTGCACAAATGACCTTGCAGACTTCCGATGCTCCCAACGCATCATTTTTAGAGTTATGACATCGAAATATACACCAAACGATAGAGAATTGATCAAGGATCACGATAGTGAAGGTTTCAAGTCGATATCTCTTACCGTTTTGCCGCAATCGGCGCGGAAATCTGAAAAAGTTAGATTTTTCCGAAAATTTGACCTTTGACCGGTCATAAGTAGGTCAAATGTTGACCTAGGACCAAAAAATATACCACCAATCGCGAGATCTTGTTGAGAGAAATCCGTTGGTCTTCTCCGCTAAGCTCTACGACGCTCCGTTTTCAAACGCCAGGGGGTCGCATCAACGGGTTACGGACAAAAGTACGTATCGCTAAAGTACGTAGGACAAAAGTACGTAAGCAAAAGTACGTAGGATTAAAGTACGTATCGCAGAAATACGTACAGTATAAAGTACGTATGGACAAAAGTACGTCAGGGACAAAAGTACGTATCGCAGAAGTACGTACAATATAAAGTACGTGTGGACAAAAGTACGTCAAGGACAAAAGTACGTATCGCAGAAGTACGTACAGTATAAAGTACGTATGGACAAAAGTACGTCAGGGACAAAAGTACGTATCGCAGAAGTACGTACTATATAAAGTACGTATGGACAAAAGTACGTATGGACAAAAGTACGTATCGCAGAAGTACGTAGGGTATAAAGTACGTATGGACAAAAGTACGCCACGGACAAAAGTACGTATATCTAATGTACGTTGGGTAAAAAGTACGTATGGACAAAAGTACGTCACGACAAAAATACGTATCGCAGAAGTACGTATGGTAAAAAGTACGTATGGACAAAAAAGTACGTCACGTACAAAAGCCTACGTATAGCAAATGTACGTAGAGTATAAAGTCTTGCCTTGTGCAAGACGCCCCAGATAATTTATTTTGCTACATAGGTACCTACTTTTGTCTCACACCACCTGGAAGGCCAAATTTGTGCTCAATGTGTTCTTTGGACATTTTACTTTAAATTCCACCCCTCAAATTCATTCACTTATGATCGGACTCCCAGCTAGGAAGTGCTTTGTGAAGCAACTGCAAATGGGACATTTTGCCCCAACCCCAGGGCAAAACGCCCCACGGCCTGAGGCAAGAAGCCCCATACACTAGATTAACCCTCGCGGGCCCGGGGGGCGTTTTTCGCCCCCCCCCCCCTGGCGAATATTTGCGATAGCTCCCGAACGTTTATAGGGATAGGAAAGCGAAACTTTCAGTACCGTTTCTCCCATCAATTTGACATCTTCTGAAGTAAAAAATTTGGATCTAGCCCCATTGATGACGTCACAAAGTCGATTTTTCTAGACCCCTGCACGGCAAACTTCGGTGTCACAGACGCGAACTTCAAATAGCTGCTAAAAATAGAGTTTTAGAGATAAAGACAAATTACGAGCACGGTTGTGTAGCGTTTGACCTAGAAAAAAATACAAAAATAGGTTTAGTGACCTGAGGTCAGAGGTCAGGTCAACGACCCCGAGCTGTTTTTTAGTTTTTCGCAAATAACTTCGACAAAAATGGTCCTAGAGCTACGGCAGTGGTACACTCGGGGGCAGATTGATGTTCCACCACTCCCTACCCATCGGGTTCCCATGGCTCAGCACTGGCTGCTGCCAGTGTTGCCTGCCCTCAGCACTGCTCAGCACTGCCTGCCAGTGCCAGTGCTGCCAGTCCTGCCACTGACAGCAGCCAGTGCTGAGCCATGGGAGCCCGATGGGTAGGGAGTGGTGGAACATCAATCTGCCCCCGAGTGTACCATCGCATTTGCCTTGTCAAGCCGCGTCGAATGATATATATATATATATATATATATATATATATATATATATATATATATATATATATATATATATATATATATATATATATATATATATATATATATATATATATGTTACAGGGAATATGCGATTTCAGTTAGTTTGCAACGAACCTAGGGTGGTTGTAACCTCCCTGAACGAGCAGTTTGTTTGCAACGACCCTAGGGACGTTACAAAATAACTGCTCGTTCCGGGACGTTGTAACGAAACTAGGGTCGTTGCAACCTCCCTAGTTAGTATGCAACGAACCTAGGGTTGTTACAAAATAACTAGGGAGTTTAAGAATTCATCGAGTCTCGTTTCACATGAGGGCCGTCAGCAATCTTGTCCATTGAAAATCTTGTTCAATATAGTTCATTTAAAAACAAAAGGAGAA